AGTGGCATAATCATAATCATAACAACGCAAAAGGTCTTTTGTGTTCCGGCCAATAAAAATCTAGTCCCGGTACTTTCGCGTCGTAGTCATTTTCAAGACTTTCTTCGAGGAGAGATTAGCTAGTTGATTAAGTAAAGTAAGTTGATCCACTTTTCTCAAGGGAATCAGTTACTACATATTTGCCATCGTCAGCTCCAAGGCAGAGTGGGAGCCCCCAGAGTTCTTGAAAGTCATGAGCGATTCCTGTCCATTGGTCACTTGTTCCAGGGGACTGTAGATACTGTTGTTTCGAGTAGTCTAATATCGCAGTAGAAGTTTCTTTAATAATTTTCGACATAGGCGACTTGCCAACACGTAAATGGAACGACTGTGATTGCTGAGAATCCCCAGATGCAAGGTATCGCAAAATAATTTATAGACGCTCAGCTGGTCCAACAGGTTCTCCAAGCTTACTGTACTTATCTGTTTGGATATACGTGGAGCAACCAGGCTAAGTAAACGTTCAAATCGCTTAGGAGACATTCTTATAAATTTAAAGTGCCACTCTCGTTCTCCGACCAGAAGTTCCTGAACAAGAGCATGGTAACATCCAAATCTTTGCCTTTCTCTAAATATCTCTCTCACCCTAAAACGTCGCTTGTTTGCTATTGTCTCTCATGCGACACCGCCGTGAATCAAGTAGTAACAGAATTAATATGCAGTGAAATGATCTGTTGGCGGAGGAATTCCCCATTTGATGCTGGTAATGAGAGCAGGCCTACAATAAGAGCAATGCGTAGGTTTGTACGGCAGTCATTATTGAAGCACGGTACGCAAAATAACCAAGTCATTCATGAATTTTAAAGCATCTCTTAAGACAAGATTTAAGATGCACGTTCCCACTAAATCATAAGAAGTTTATGTTTGTGATTGAGATTATGATTATGATTATAATCCGCATGTCTCTAGTGGGTTCTAAGCCTTACTGTTATTGTAACTGCTATTATTATTACTATTATTATTATTATTATTATTAT